TTTGCGTGAGCGTGCTTCTGGCCTACATGGGCTTTTATATAAAACGTTGTGAATGTATAAATTTATTCGTCGAGATGAGCAAACGTCTTGTCGCTTCTACGCGGACTTTCTTCGTCTTAGAGAGAGGGAGATAGGAAGGGGAAGAAGGAATGGGAGAAGAAGGGGTAATGGGGAGGAAGAGAGGAAGAGGAAAATGGAGAGTGGGGGAGAGAAAGGGAATATGAGGGTGGGTAGGAGAAACACGGGGTAATGAGAGAGAGAGAGAGAGAGGGACAGACAGACAGAGCGAGAGAGAGACAGACAGACAGACAGACACTCAGACAAGAGAGACAGAGAACAGACAGAGAGAGACAGACAGACAGACACTCAGACAAGAGAGACAGACAGACAGAGAGCGAGAGACAGACAGACAGACACTCAGACAAAGAGAGACAGACAGACAGACAGAGCGAGAGAGAGAAACAGACAGACAAACAAAGAGAGAGAGAGAGACAGAGACAAACACTCAGACAAAGAGAGACAGACAGACAGACGAGAGAGAGAGAGAGACAGACACTCAGAGAGAGAGAGAGAGAGAGAGACAGAGAGACAGAGAGAGAGAGAGACAGACAGAGAGAGAGAGAGAGAGACAGACAGCAGACAAAGAGAGACAGACAGACACTCAGACAAAGAGAGACAGACAGGCAGACAGAGCGAGAGACAGACAGACAGACAAACAAAGAGAGACAGACAGACAGACAGACAGAGCGAGAGAGACAGACAGACAGACAAACACTCAGACAAAGAGAGACAGACAGACAGAGCGAGAGAGAGAGAGAGAGAGAGAGAGAGAGAGAGAGAGAGAGAGAGAGAGAGAGAGAGAGAGACAGGGCAGACAGAGCGAGAGAGAGACAGACAGCCAGACAAAGAGAGACAGACAGACAGAGCGAGAGAGACAGACAGACAGACAAACACTCAGACAAAGAGACACAGACAGACAGAGCGAGAGAGAGAGAGAGAGAGAGAGATAGCCAGACAAAGAGAGAGACAGACAGACATACAGACATACAGGCAGACCAGAAAAAGAGACATCGATCAAGCTTCAGACAGACAGAAACAGAGTGAAAAAAAAAAAAGAAAAAAAAAAGACGAGAGAAAGAGACAGACAAGACAAGACACCCAAATGACCGACAGACAGAAAGAGAAATGAAACTCAGACACTTCTGGCGTAATAACAACCACCGGACAGTCCGCACAGATCTTTATCGCCGTCGCCATTGTAAGGAGGCTGTGTCCGTCCCTCTTGCCGGGCTGCAGGAAGTTCTGTGGTGCAATTAGTCTCGTGTTGGCGACTTTCACCTTCACTTCGAGTCTCGGAGGTTTGGTTGCGGGAGATGGGCAAGGGTGGAGGGGTGGAGGGGTGGGGAGCAAGGGTGGTGGGGTTGGAGGGGCAAGGGTGGTGGGGATAGGGGATGGAGGGCAAGGGTGGTGGGGTGGGGGAGGAGGCTAATGGTGAAGGGGTGAAGGGGGTGGGGAGATGGGCAAGGGTGGTGAGGGTGGAGGGTAAAGGTGAAAGGGGTGGGGGTGGGGGAGATGAGTAAAATGTGAAGGGGATGGGATGAGAGAGGAGGGTAAAGGTGAAGGATGGAGGGAGGAGGGTAAAAGGTGGAGGGGTGGGGGATGGCCAAGGGTGGAGGGATGGGGAGGAGGGTAAAAGGTGAAGGGGGTGGGGGAGATGAGCAAGGGTGAGGGGGTGGAGGAGATGGATAAAGGTGGAGGGCGTGAGGCAAGGGTGGAGGGGGTGTATGGATGAGGGTAAAGATGAAGGGGGTGTTGGGGAGAAAAGGGTGGGGTAGGGTAAAGGTGGAGGGAGTAGAGAAAGGTATAGGTGGGGTTTGGGAGAAGGATGAAGGTGGAGGGGGAAGTGATTGGGGAGATGGGCAAGGGTGGAAGGGGTAGGGGTGGGGGAGCAAGGATGGAGGGGGTGACGGAGGGCAAGGCTGGAGATTGGGGAGCTCTACGTCTACCTCATCCTTTCCCTCTCCCCTTCTCCCTCTTCCGCTCTCCTCTCTTTTCATCTTCTCCTCTTTTATTACAACATCCCCTTCTTCTACACTAACGTCCATCTTTCTTATCTTTTTTTCTAAACATAAAGATACAATTTACGCTTCTCGCTCTTCCTCCGAGTGACCCGCCTCCCTTCTCCCGCTCCGGTTCAAAACCTTAATCAGAATGACCTTATACGCCCTAGAGAGAGGGAGAGAGGGGGAGGGGGAGGGGGGTCGATAGAGAGAGACAGGGAGGGTAGAGGGGAGGGAGAGGGGGTAGATAGAGAGATAGAAGGGGAGGGGGAGAGTAAGAGGGAGGGGAGGGGGAGAGGGAGTGGGGGTAGATAGATAGAGAGAGGGGGGGGAGGGAGAGGGAGGAAGAGAGAGAGAGAGAGAGAGAGGAGGGGAGAAGGAGTGGGGAGAGAAAGAGGGGGGTAGACAGATAGAGAGAAAGGGGGGGGAGTCAGAAGGAG